AGTGGGAGATACACCATTTTTCAATTGAGTTTGAAGAGAAGCCATGCCTCTATAAAGGGCAGCCAAAAAGAAAGAACATAAATTCAAAGGCTTGTCACGCGCCAATTCGTGCGCTATGGGTAAATAACTCAGGGAGGGCTTTATGCTTGGCACACACAAAACATATTTACAAAGTCAAACCAGAAGAAAGGCCACTCGCTCAGTATGGGAAGGCTCAGCGCTCGAATGGTTATGAAGGGTTTGCAGGCTTGAATAAGACTCGGTAAGGTTTCTACCAAACTTTGGGGCGCCACCAGAAACCAAGATACCAGGAAAAATGGTATCGCCCAAAGGTGGCAAATTCACTAGGGCCCCAACATCCCTTAAAGTAATAGACATGGGGCCAAAATGGAAAATTAAAGGTATTATACTCAGAAGACAAAAAACTCAAAGCGATTGAAAAAAGTGCTAAATCAAAAGTAGGGGGTTGAAGAGAGATTTCTAACAAATCAGAAATCCTAGCATTATCAAAAAGTGCCTTAGTAGGACCATGGTCCACAAGGCGAGCATGCCACCTACAAAAAACTACATCAGATTTAGGCCAAGTGCGAATACCTCTTTCGCGAAGTAGCCCCAGCGGCAGAGAGTTTAGAAATAGAGGGCCTTGAGTACAAGGAAACAGCTGGCCCACCGCCGCCTGTTCGACTGCCTCTGCATTGTTGAAGAAAGGATCTAGGTAGAACTCATTGAGTTCGACATTGGTAGGCGCGAGAAAGTTCGGAGTTATGTATGGACGACTCAGAAGTTTCTGAAGTCATCAAAACTAAAGGAGTCGCCAGATTGAGATTGTGAAGTAGCCATTAGGGATGAAACGGAGTTTTTTCAGAGTTACGTAGCAGGGAAGCAAAAAGATGAACAGTAAATCGTGGGAGAGAAACGCGAAAAAGTGAGGCGTGATTTAATGGTGCAGTGAAATGGCGTGTTTGGGGGTTATAAGGGTTTGCAAAACGTCGCACTTTTTCAAACTATGGAAGAAAACAATGATTGAAATTCTTGGGAATTTCGAATGTTGTTGGAAACACAAAGTGAATATTTGACACATAAAAATTCAGCCCAAATCGAACGGCCTAAGGAATGAAGCTCAATTGGAGGATCCCCAAATCAGATAGCCTAAAGAACGAAGCCCAATCAAACAATTCAAGATGAAGGCCCAAATAGGGAGGCCCAAGAACGCGGTAACACCATCGCCCAAATTTGCAAGTCGCCCAGAATCTGAGCGAATGGAGTGCCATGCAGTCGCCCAGAGCTGTTACTCTATTCTCGCCCAAACCTTCGAGTCGCCCAAGGTCTTTGCAAACATGAAGTGTTGTGGTTATCAAGAAGTGCAGTTATCAAAGCAGTTATTAAAGCAGTCCTATCACGTTCCACGATTCAAGGAATTTAATTGAAGACGGTTGAACGACGAAGAGTAATGGCAGCAGTTAGAAAAGGTAGTTCCATAACAAGTTGGCCATTACGAGAAAAGTGGGCAGTTATAGAACAATCTAGCAGTTTTTAGGCGGTTGATCACAAAGAGATCATCCAGGGAGTATAAAAGGAAGGAAAGACATAGAGCAAAGGAACCGAATCAAAAAACTCTCGAACAGAGAACATGTAACTTTAAATTTCTTAACTTAGATTTAAACACTTCTTTCAATAACTCGTGTGCTTGCGCCCCTTGGAGGCATTCTGTTTTTAATTTCCGATTGTAAAGTCACTGCCAATAAAGAACATCCCTTTTTGGGACTTTGTCTCAAGAGGTTTGTCCCTTACACAATCGTCTGATCCCTTTTAATTGTTAGCGACTAACCCGCGCGAAACAAATAGGTTTTGTAAGAATTGATTTTTTGTTTTCATTTATTATTATTATTATTATTATTATTATTATTATTATTATTATTATTCTTTTTGAAGAATATGTAGGTGAAAAGTATGGAAAAAAAATTGAATTTATGTACAGAAGTATTTTATTGGAAAAATGTGTGATTAAAAATAAATTTGAGAAAAAATTATTTTGAAGATTTTTTTTTTTTTAAATGGAACTCAAACAAAGATTATAACTTCTTTAGAAAGAAAAATAAATAAATAAACCGAACGTTTTATCTAAATGAATGGACCACAAAGAGTATTACCACAAGTTGTAAAAAATGAAAATAACCTCCATGTTAATATTCGTTTTTACGAAATTCATGTCATTATTTCTGTTATCACAATTATAAATTGTCGCATAATATTTTTAAAATACGAAACTTACATCCAATTTTATCTTATAACGAGATCTTAACAGTATTTCATAATTATTTTCTTTGGTCATTTTATATCACTGGAAACTTGTTAATATGAAATTTTATTTAAGCTGAAATTTTAAGAATTTAATATACAGCAATACAGATAGAAAAGTTGGGTTCAAAGATGACAAGGAAAAGCTGGAAATTTATTTTTCTCTTTAGGCCTGCTATCTATTTAATTACTGTACCTTTATTTACATCCATAGTTCACATATATATATATATATATCCTTATTAAAATAATAAAATTTTAAAAAGTAACTATTTTCATCCACATCAAATTCCAATATTGTTCTTATTAAATTCATTCATTTAAATATTATAGATCCATATAAATCTTATATATTCATCACACTAAAAATACATTCATAATACAATTTTGAAAATCACCATATTCATCCATTCACTATCAATATTTAATCTGATTTTTACTTTTTATTTTCTATATTGTCATGTTGGTGCTTTAAAATTTAGTTATTAAGATTAACAAATATTTTTCTTGAATTTATAGAATTTTCTCCAGAGTATACTGCTCAACCAAACAAATCCCACGAATCATATATCAATTAATTTTTTTGCTTATAAGCTCATAATTTTGGCTGTTTGTTTTCAATTGATAATTTTAAATTTGTTTTCTTTTATAATGTAAGAATATTTGGACAGATATTAAAACATATTTTGAAATTTCTCATATATTTTCATCTATCAAATCGATATATAAAAAAGCATAAAAAATAAGATTCCAATTTTCATATCATGAAAGAATTATAACTCTAATAATGTGTTGATTTTTTTTTTTTAATTTCTACTGAAGACAATATTATATGATTAGGGTTTTATTATTTTAGCTAAAGATGATATTTTATATATGATTGCTAGAATTTTAGTTAAACACAAACTCTAAAAGAATATAAAAATGTTTAAAAGAATTTATGAAAATAAACATTAGTTGATGAATTTAAAATAATATATTTTTATTTAATTTTATATATGTCTATATAGGTAAATTTACATAAGATAAAAAAATATAATGTAATTATCTTTTTAAAAGTGGATGCATATATAAAAAACTGTGAATGTTAATAGTGGTACCCTTTAATTACTATTTGCTTGTTTGGAAAGTATAAAAAGTTGAGGTTAAAATCAAGAATTATTTTAATAACATATTGTGTAAGATCCATAATTAATATCACTTTTTGATCACTCGTTTGACGGGAACCGCATTTCCATCTTGTCAAAATTGACTTTTAAGTTTTCCCGAGCAAGAACTAATGGATAAAATATACGTAATACAAGTGATCTAATAGGACAGAACATCACCAAGACATTTCGAGATGCAAGCACTTTATTTCATCACTATCGATATATTGTAACAAATCAACAATATCTTAAAATAAAGCCTCTTATGGGTCAAAAGAAAAATTCGATACCAATTTCTGAAGAAGCAGAAAGTGAGTTACTTTCAACATTGTCTAGACAGATTTTAACTCTTTTGTGCAAGCAACAATCCTTCTTTGAGAGCAACAACCTTTTGCATCTAACCCAAAAGGAAATATGGCATTGACTTTGTACCAGTTGCAATCAACGTCCCTCAATAATCCCGATTGATTGTCTTGATACCAATGAATGAATAGATGAATCCATCTTAAATTTCAATTCATTCGAGGGATCCCATTTATCCACTTGCAATCCCTTATCTAATTTTTCCACCATTAATAAGTTTCATGTTCTAAAACTATTAAGCCGCCGTTTGGCCCTGAATTTGTGGTTGAAAATTAAAGAAATGTTATCACTTTACATGTAATATTATTTTATGAAGATCGTGTGATTGAAAATATGATAAAAAGTATAAATTTTTAGATTATTGGGAGAATTTATCTCCTCTAGAGATAATCACTGATCTATAGTGATTGATGATATATTATAAATGATAAGATCAATTAAATATATGGATAGGAGATTCATTTTATTGATTTTATTATTTAATATTACACCACATTATAATCATCTCTAATAATGATTAACATTATACATATACTATCGACAAAACCTCTACCAATTTGAGCATTTTTCCTCTAACATAAATTCTTCTAAGATTACTTGTTAAAGGTTGAGAAAAAATTTCAATGGAATGTCCTTGCAATTTCTGATGTACCCCATTGAGATTTTAATAAACTTTAAGATTAATTAAAGTCTAGGTATCCTCGACAATTCAAATTTATAAAGATTTTATTAATAAAAGGATTTCAAAAGATTTGTATGGATTTCAAATTTAAAAATATACGTAAAAAAGTTCTTTTGAAATTTCACCATTTTAATGAGATTCTTATAGATTGAATGAAAGTCTATTCAAACTCACGCAATTCGTTAAGAAAAATTATAATCTTTTAAAATTGATTAAAATCTTAGTTAAAGATGTCCCGATAAAATTGATCCTTATCCATTATAGATTGGAATGCATTATACAAGATATAAAACTTCTTCCCATTTTCATCTACCTGCTTCGATAATTTCTATCTTTTGTCGGTTTAAAAAGATATAATTTTCGTGATTGAAAAATCAAAGAGATGACACAAATTAAAATTGTATATAATTATTAATGAAAAATAATAAATAAGCAACAAAAAGAAGCAAAAACATTTGAATGAGAAAATAAGAGGAGACCTTTAGTGGGTCACATAAACACGATGTCTTCAGGCAATTCCATGTGCCCACATGGCGCTGCTCATATCATAATACTCCTTTCGCACACAAACACATACTAAAATATACGTACAATTATATACACACTCTCCCTCTCGCCTTCCGTTTGTGCATCTTCATATCATATTGTTAATTTCCAAATCAAATTTCTGTTAATTAAATAAAACCCTCCACAACCCAGAAAGTTAATTCAGTTTCTTGAACTTATTCGAAAAATACTGCAAAAATGGAGAAGAACAGTGATGGGTTTGTAAGGGCAGATCAGATTGATTTGAAGAGTTTAGATGAGCAACTTGAGAGGCATCTCAGTAGAGCTCGGACTATGGAGAAAAACAAGAAAAATCAAGAAGATTTCCCCATGACCGCAGCCGCCGCCACTACCACCACCACAATCGGCGGCGACGGCGACGGCGGCGCTAATAGGAGGCAGAGACACGAGTGGGAGATTGACCCCTCTAAGCTAATCATCAAGGGCGTCATTGCACGTGGCACTTTTGGGACTGTACACCGTGGCATATATGATGGTCAGGATGTTGCCGGTTAGTCAACCTTTCATCTTCTTATCTTTTTTTCCTCCATTTTTCTGTTCTGTATAAAAAATTACTTTTCACTTTTAAAAAGTTAATTAATTTTGCTTCTTTTACTTTTTCTCATTTATTTTGTGAGTTTCCTTCATTTGTTTTTGTCTTTTGATTAGAAATATGCTTATTTTGCTGTGATTAAAAGCACCTTTTAGCTGCTCTTTAGGGCTTCAAAAGGTACTTTTAGGAAAGAGTAAAATCTTGTCAAAATTAATGTAAGTCTAAAAGTTCAGTCTTTTTAGTTAAAATTAAGCAGATAAATTAAGTGAAATGAGAAGAAAAGAATCATAGAAACCTCTAATCAATAGCAAAAACTGATTATTTTCAGGATAATAATAATCTGGTTGGTTGAATATTTGGGATGGGCGTAGGGGGTGTCTTTAGGATATACTTATGGAATCCGTGACTTATGGCACGGGTTTGGATTGGATTTGGAGGTGACAGTAATGACTTGGGGTGGTGTTTTTTCTGAACTTTCATGTGAAGCAACTGGTTGTTTAGTTTGACTTTTTAACAACCAACCAAAAAAAAAAAGAAACTGTCTTCTAGTGTAGTCATGATAAAGGAGAGATATTATTGTTTAGTCTGATGATAAACAAATGTAATTAATTAATGTCAATTTCAACCTAGAACCTGGGATCTTTGCAAATTGATTAATTTTAATATTCATCATAGAGTATAGTTTAGTGTTGTTATCAAGAACTTTAAGAAAATGATAACCCTTTTGAGCTATTAAATTGAAGATTTTGTAGATAAGATTATCGAGTATAAAATAATCTGATCCTAAGCAAGGATAGAAATAGTACTATGGATTAATAATGATGGAAAGAAGTTCAGTGTTAGTCCCAATAAACATTAGGATTGACTATATGACATTTTTTTTTTTTTTTTTTTGGCCCTGGTATTTAGTAGGTTATCTTTTCTTATAATCCAACACTCGTTTGTCCAATTTCTTAGGCTCATAGATAAAGGGAGGTTTACAGGGGAGCAAAGTTGTCGACATTGATTAACTATGGTTTGACATTGTAAAATTTAGCGAATTGGGCTCTCCTCTTCAGCAAACTTATTAGGATTTTCAATGCTTCACAAATCTTTTTTCTGTTCATTCCCTCAAAACAATCATTAACCGTCCATCAGTTGATCATGTTAGATTGATTGAATAGTAAAATAAGCTTTTGTTCTTTTACTTGCATTGGCTTGCACCAGTGAACTGAATGTTGCTCTGGCACAGTTACTATGCGATAAACTATAATTGTTGTGATTTTATTATTGAATTTTACTTTATTCATTATTAACATTTTGGTAGCTTCCGGTGATCAGTTAAACTGTTGGACTGGGGGGAAGAGGGCCACAGGACAGACGCTGAGATTTCATCATTAAGGACAGCTTTTACTCAAGAAGTTGCAGTTTGGCATAAACTCGATCATCCTAATGTAACTAAGGTCGTAATCTATTTCTGATATCTTTGCATTTATTTGATATATGTGGAGCCATGTTTCTAACCACATTGTCATTGTTTGTTGAGTTTGTCTTTAACATATGTGGACCCACCATTGCCGGGACAATTCCAGTTCCACAAGAAGCATGCTTCTTATAAGTGGAAATCTGTTATAGTTACTGGAAATAATTGTTTATCTTCCATTTAAACTTTATCTTTGGTTGTCTCTTTGCACTATTGGTCTTATCGCTTGTGTCTAAACCCGTTATGCAGTTTATCGGGGCAACAATGGGTTCTTCAGAACTTAATATTCAAACGGAAAATGGTCACATTGGGATGCCCAGTAATATATGTTGTGTTGTCGTTGAATATCTTCCTGGAGGTGCTTTGAAATCTTACCTTATAAAGAACCGGAGAAAGAAGCTTGCATTCAAAGTAGTTGTACAGATTGCACTCGATCTTGCCAGAGGGTACCTGTCGTTTAGATTTGGAATTCTTTTTCGTTAATATTCATTTGTTGTTTATATGATCTGTAGATAAATTAAATTCAATCTTCCGTTTTGCAGGTTAAGTTACCTTCACTCACAGAAGATTGTTCACAGAGACGTTAAAACAGAAAATATGCTGTTAGACAAGAACCGCACTGTGAAAATAGCAGATTTTGGAGTTGCCCGTGTTGAAGCCTCGAATCCAAATGACATGACGGGAGAAACCGGGACCCTTGGCTACATGGCTCCCGAGGTTAGTTATCCATCATTTCTTTGATATATATACTCATTCTAGGAGTCTCTGTTCAAAGTCAAAAATGTTTCATGTTCTTGCACGTCTCTTTTTGTTTATAGGAAAACTATCTCGATTCTTCTTAACTTCGTCAAATGGTATACCTGTTTGCTCATTCCAACAGTTCGTTAACAATGTTGTCTATCATGTTTTCAGGCCCAGTGTAGTACTATATACCCGACATGCTCAACTCGTATTACTTAATAGCTAGTGCATCATTAACCATTTCGCATTGGTTTCTCTTAAACTCGTAGAACTTGGAAACAGTCCCTCTCCCTCTTTTCGATTCCCCTAGAAAAGGAATGAAAAGCCGAACTTGTATTGATGGTAGAACTAAAAACCAAAACTAAACAAAAGAAGGCTGAGTCAACAACAAAATACAAATAAAAAATTGACCACGACTGTCCTATTAATGTCAGCTGCATGTCTAAATAATGAACTTCAGGTTCTCAATGGCAACCCGTACAATAGGAAATGTGATGTATACAGTTTTGGCATCTGTTTGTGGGAGACGTATTGTTGTGACATGCCGTATCCCGACCTTAGTTTCTCAGAAGTGACATCAGCAGTCGTTCGCCAGGTATTTGCATTTTTCTTCATTATATGTTTTATATTTATCAATCTTAGCCTCTGTTTGGCAAGAGTTTATAAATGATATGATTTTATAAATAGATTGAAATAAATGGTAGATAAGGTGATGATACTAGTGGGTCCACTGGAATGCATTTTTGAAAATGAAGTTTGACCATTTATAAATGATTCCTAAATTTTGCCAAGGCTTAATGTGGTTAAAAAAAAATTGTGATTGACTCTCTTCTTTTTATAGAACCTAAGGCCCGAGATACCTAGGTGTTGCCCGAGTTCCCTTGCTAATGTGATGAAACGATGCTGGGATGCCAACCCAGATAAGAGGCCAGAAATGGATGAGGTAGTTTCCATGTTAGAGGTCATCGACACATCGAAAGGTGGAGGAATGATCCCTCATGATCAACAACAAGGTTGTTTCTGTTTTAGGAAGCATCGCGGGCCTTGAAATTTTATGCTCAGGCTGATTTTCGACTATGTTTCTTATAGCTCCATTTCCTAACATTGAACTCATAATTATGGAATTTCTGAGCCAAAAAACTCTACAATGACAAGATGTGTTGTAAATCTTTTGGTTGGTGTATATCTTATTTGATTATTTGCTTCTATATTGCATTTGCTTATGTTCTAGCGTCCCTTTTTTTTCTTTTTCTTTTTCTCTCTTGTACTAGAAATAATGTTATAAACCTGTGTAGTGAAGGCTTAAATTACTTGCTGGTGTCTATAGCAGTTGGTTGACTTATTGAATCTTTTGGCACGTTTGCTATGTTGGACTCGATATCAAATTTCGACGTCTATTTCTTCTTTAATAAAGTTCAGTTCAATTTAGTGTATTGAATGTGTGAAAGATTTTACTGCATTATAATCAATCTTTACGACCTCGTCCGTTTTCGAAAATCGAGGTGGGACATGGAACATGGTCCTTTTTTTGAATCTACCTTTGACTCATTTTTATGTTATTAAATTTATATTTTATTTCGAAATACGAACAATACATTAAAAAACTTAAAATCATATAAATAAGTAATGGATCGAAATTGTTAGACGGGTCTGGGCAGAAGTTTGAGCCAAGAATCATCACATCGACCAGTTGAACCAAGCTATTTGTTAAGAAACAAATGACGGTAGTAACAGACACAATATGCTTATTATCCATTAGCTAATTAGAAATTGACAAATGCACCAAGTAGCGCATACGAATTGAAACGAAGACAAATTTATAACTGAGGTTATAAATAGGAATAGCAGTGAATTTTACTATGACTACTACTACTACTGATAATAATAATAATAATAGTTTTGAGCCCTCTGGGGCACAGCTCAACTGGTGAATCAATTAACATTGGCTTGCTTCTAGCAACAGGGTGGAGAGTTCGATTCCTGATGGGAACCTGCGGCCAAAAATTTGGTATGGAGCAATCACTGTGGAGAAGGGTCTCTTGTGCACAGAAGTGTACAGTCAATGGGGGAAACCTGTGATCCAGTTGAGGTATAACTCGCGATTTACCTCCTCCAAGGTTCTAGAACATGGGTCTTGGAGGTCCAGAATTTAATCTGATGTAAGCTAGGATACCTAGATATAAAATAAAAAAAAAATAATAATTTTGAATATATGATTAAAAATAATGTCGTCTCGAACTAAACTATAAATCAATTTATAGATCGTATCCAAAAGGATTGTAAATATAAAAAAGTTGAAAAATACTCTCTCTCTCTCTCTCTATTTTTTATTTTTTAATTTGGTCATAATTTAATTTAATTTTTTTTTTTTTTTGAAAGAACATATCTTTACATGTCTATCCTACTTTTTCGATCAATTTATCGTATACATTTAATCAATATGAGATTTTAAAATTTAAGGGTTGCTCAAGAAAATTGTTTATAAAAATTATAGCAAACTTGATAAAAGATGAAGAAACGTGTTGCTAAAATAGTTATAAAAAATATGTAGTTAAAATTAATTATTAATTTTGATATTTTTAGCAATTTTTTTAGCTTTCTCAAACAAGCACTGAGACATGTCACAAGAAAATACCCGGAAAAATGATATTCCAAAATACTTAGCCCCTATTTGATGGTCATTATTTGAGAAAAACAATGTTTTGAATAACGAATTTTTAGAGAATGTGTAGTTAAAAAGTAGAGAAAAGTTTTGAGTTTACATAAATAATATTTTATTGTGTAAATATGTAGTTAAAAATAAGTATATAAAGAAAAGAATTTCGAAAAAAACCCATCAAACATAGGTTGATATGTCAAAATGTTTATTGCATATATGGTGTAAGGGTTTACATAAAGTCACATTATCCATCTCATTAAGTTGCCCAAGAAACATATATGAAAGAATCAAGAGTAAGTTAATTAAATGGGATAATAATGGAAATACATTAAAGATATGCAACAGCACATTGGCAATTCTCTCAGACACCAGCATAATTAGCCCTCGGGAGTTCAATCTCAGTCGACTTCTCATCCTCATCCCAGTCTGTCATCCTGTAATAAGTCGCGTAAAGAACAAGCTGAACTAATCCCGACAACATTCCTAAACCATTTGGAACCTACAAAAGTACGATGTTATAATCTAAAAGATTAAATTGTCGAAGACGAAGAAAATATACTACGTATTGAAAACTTTACCATGAGATAGGGATCAAACTTGATGAGTGCATATGAAAACCAGATGGAGCCATTTGCAAAGTTGGTTAGTGATAAGAAAAATGGCATGTATTTTACACTCTTGGTACTGATAACTCGTCGCTGAGAAAATCGAGAGAGAGAAAGAGAGAGAGAGAAACACAGAAGAATTAATGAAATTGGTCATAAAATAAATTAAACTTGAAAAAGAAGTGAAGAAAAATTAGTACCATGACAGTCAAGGGTGATGTATACATGATTGTGTTGAATATGATGCACAATATTCCAACGAGCATTGATCTATCCTTGTGGCCATGGAGAAATGTCAAGGTGATGAAAACCACAATGAACAAGAATACGAGCTCAACGATCAAAGCCATAGTAATCCTTTTCTGAAATTAACCAAAAATTGGTTGGACTGTCGAAGAAAGGTGACATGTAAACTATTTGATCTAAAAGTTTAAGTTGTGTGAAGTGCCAAAATTCGAGAATTGGTTAAAAAGTAGAGATGGAACGTACGCGCATGGCCCAATTGGAGAAGAGGAAGAAGATGGTGACATAGGAGATTTCAATGATGAACCCTACGCCGTTGATAGTGACGACGAGAAGGCTGTCGGGATGAACAATGGGAAGACCATAGAACACCCACATAGCACAATTCAGCACTGTTGCGACGTATGGATCTGGTTTGAATCCTTGCACAGATTTCGCTTTCCGGATCTTGATGAATGTTGGGCTGCAAATCGATTACATCACTTACACCATTGTGTTAGAGAAATCAAGAGAAGTTCCAATTCTTTCATGTGTGCAAAATCTGAGAGAGAGAGAGATTACACAGGAGAGAGGAAGAGGAAGAATGAGATGATATTGCCTGCATATAGAAACAAAGAAAAGTCAAGACATACAGATGTAATCATTTAATAACCATGCTACAGTCCCATCGTTCTGGATGTAATGTTACGTGTCATTTAATTAGCACTATTTTAAACACAATCAGCTTTTCTATCAAATTATCTGTTGTCACCTCGAGTTATATCACTGCTTGTGTTAAATTTCTTCTAGCAAAGTGGCAAAATCTCGTCTCCCCATCCTTTCACTTGACAAGAATGAAAATATTGTTCAAGTGATGATAGTCTTCCCTATTTAACATATCTACGAAGTGATGAAGCCAGAACTTTCATAATGAATTTTGTATTATATTAAAAATAATCAAAATTTCTACGTAAATCTAAAGAAAAGTTGTGGGAGAGGTCGCCACCCCCGGTCCCTCCATCGCTCCGCCACTATATCCAAGTAGTGTCCTAACAACAACATGAAACATTTTCTTGACAAGATAGATCGAGCTATGAAAAACAAAACGAAATGAATCAAAACTACGAACCAATGATTCCAATAACTGTCCTAGATGTTTCTGCGTCCACCATGTTGGAGCCTCAAAAGATAATCACACTAGAAAAACGATACGAGGTGAGAAAATTAATGATAAGAGGACAAGATGTTGAAGCAGATCATGATGATGAGGGAGAATGAGGGCATTTGAAGAATTACGATGAAGCTTGTTATAGAGGTACTAGATATGGGTTAAAGGATTTAATTAGACATGAATTGCAGCCAAATAATAATTACTTGACCAGAATAAATGGATAATTCATGGTTATGGATTCTATTGCCTTCCAATTCTTTTGGAGATTAGTTATTAATTTGACTGGCTTGTAAATATTAGGGCATATTGGCACTAAATTTGTACGGAATAGAGCTATTTATACAATGATTGCTGACAATTCATATGTTGTCAAGATCTGTTTGGTTAATTTAAAAAATAGTTTTCAAATTGATGGTGTAGATTTTGCCAACTCATAATTGTTAACAAAAGTTGTTAATCATAGTTGTACATGTAGCATGGTTAATTTGTACATGAATGTTGTTTAATTATTTATTGGATTAGCATAACTAATTTGTTTATCCAATGAAATATTTTTATATAATTAAGTTATTAATGATTGTAATTAATTTATACCTCAATGGTTCGAAATGTTCTTACACATAATCGAAGGAGAAGGGGTTGGGTAGAAAATGCAAACCCAAACTTAGAGAAAAAATACAATGCATCTTTTTATCCATATATTAAATCAATGCCTCCACATTAAATATTGATGCTATTGGGTGCAATTCGCAATTTATTCGAATTTTAACCATTAACTTTTCCCATTTTCATTGCCTGCAAGATAACTAATCCATAAGAAGAAGATTAAGATCACCAACGCATAATGGCCGACCTCTCTTGCTCGGAACCCGAGCCCAACCGTCCAACCGGACCACCATCTGTCCTCGGTCTCACGCCACCCCAATCAAACTCGAAAAAGCTTTCTTCTCATGATGACCTTGTTAGATCCAAAAGTATTGTAGTGAATGAGATTAATGACGTTATATAAAGTAAAGAAGATTGCAACGAAAAACAAGATTTAAAAGTAAAGAAATTGACAAAAAGAGTTAATCGCAGAGGCACGATATTTTATTAATCGACAATATGAAGAGAAATACAAGAACTCAGCAATTCTTGCTTGAACAAAACTGAAAGAGAAAATCACTATTTATAGGTACATGGCATAGCATAAAGATGGAAATAATGTGGAATAAGGAAATAATATATTTAGATAAAAATCATGTGAAATATAAAGAACCAAATTTTCCCACACGAAAATAAGAAAACAATTTATTTCCGAAAGAATCAACCATAATTTGGGTCACAAACGCAGCAATCTCCATCTTGACCCAAATTCTGATGCAACAAACGAAACTCCAAAATTTCAAATCCGTCTACATCTAAATAGTCAGTCTCCTCAACATAGTAACCAAAACTCTCCAAAGCAAACCGGCGTCCTCTACAAGGCGTCCACAAGGGACACCTAAAGCTAAATCCTAGATTCCCAAAATTCCACCGAAAAATTTCTGTTGACCAAATAGGGTCGAAGCACACCATATAGATGAAACCATACCACATACTGGATTAGAAGGCCTCTTGCTAGAACTGTCGCCTTCAACGTCCCCAAAAGCATCTCAGACATTATTGATACCACGATACCTTCGCTCAATGAGTTCAACCCTAGCAAATGAACATAGTGCATCCACTGAAAATGGTGGCAAAGCGGAATCACCAACGCTCTCCCTAACAGTGTTCTTAACCAACTCAGAGCTCGTCACAAGAGGTACTGTACCAAACTATACATCCACCACGGTACTGAACTTGTCCAAATGTCTCTTAACTGGTTCTGCACTCCCCTGCAAGATATACAACTAAGACCTTTTTCGTCCCTCAAGTACAACACGGACATCCCTTCGGACCTTCAAAATTCCACCTCCACTAAAGAATTCATACCATTCTGCATCCGAGGTACTCAGCAAGATGAGATTCATTTTTAGGTCTGGAACGGTTAAACCTAATAAATTATTTTGATCGTCCCATTCTGCAACCTTAGTTTGACTCGACAGATTTCAGTAATACGGCAAGATTGGTTGTTTTACATTACAACTCTACCTTGCTTGACAGCCTCATATGTCTGAAAGAAATTACGACTGAAACACCTATAATGTGAACATGCCAAACTGAGAATCCACTCCTCGTCAGGTTTAGACTCCACCTCAAATACCACTATCAACAACACATCACTGCCATCCGAAAAATTCTCAGCAACATTAGTCATGTCCAAATTACAGAATTGCCCTGTATAATCTACAGCTAAATCACCTTTAACCTACAACTTGTCACAATCCTTCTTTATGTGTCCTTTTTTTTCATACAGTAGAATCAGTACAAATTGTTGAAGTTCGTCCTCGAACTATCCCTCCATAGATCACCATGAGATATCAGAGCTTCCTCATCCCTCGATGTAACTCCAACCAAATGTTTCAACTTCTCATTTGAGTGCAAAGCATCATAGACACCGTCTATAGTCAAAGTATCGCGACTATACAAAATGGTGTCCCGAAACAACACATAAGAGCCAGGCAGTGAACATAGCAGGATCAAGGCAAGATTCTCTTTATCGTACTTAATCTCCAACATTTCCAAATCTGCAACAATTTCCTTGAACACGGTAATCTAATCTTCCAACAACCCTCCTTCCGCCATGCGATGGGAATACAGCTTCTGCTTTAGAGCCAGTTTACTAGTAAGACTCTTGGCTATACGTAATTGCTCTAGTTTCAACCACAAAGCAGCTGATGTTTTCTTTTTCAATATATCATGCAGAATATTATTGGATAGATAAAGATGAATCAACGACAAACCCTTCCAATCCTTCCATTGTTTCTTCTCCGTTGTCCAATTAGCTGGCATCTTCTCAAAATTCAGCGACACATCATCCAAATCCAACTGCGCCAAAATAGCTCTCATCTTTACTTGCCACAAAGAAAACCTTGTATTGCGATCCAATTGCGGAATATCATATTTCAAAACAGCCATCTCTGAAAAACCTCAACCAATCCACAACAAGAACCAAGATCTAATACCACTTGTTGGACCCGGAAGGATTGTAGTAAATGAGATTAATAACGCGATATGAAGTAATGAAGATCATATCGAGAAACAAGGTTTAAATGTAAAGAAATTAACAAAGAGAGTTAATTGCAGAGGCACGACTTTTTATTAATTGATAATATGGAGAGAAGTACAAGAACTCAGCAATTCTTGCTTAAACAAAACTAAAAGAGAAGACCACTATTTATAAGTAGATGGCATAGTATGAAAATGGAAATAATGTGGAATAAAGAAATAATATATTTTCATAAAAATCACGTGAAATATAAAAAATAAAAATAAAATAAAAAATTTTCACATGAAAATACGGAAACAACTTATTTTTTTAAAAAAATCCATCATAATTTGGGTCACAAACCTAAGAGACCCACCCGATCAGGAGTCACCTCACCCATGTCCTAGGTATTAAGCCTTTCTTCCTAACAACCAATGATCCGAGCCCAAGCTTAGGTCTCTCCTATCGAGTACCCTACCATACATCTCGATACCAACCACTTGACCGATCATGCGCAAGCGTCTGACGATAGGCTTCATGCGTCAAAACACTACCACTAGATTGTCTTGACCTCCTATTCTGCCTCGAGAAGCTTTTGTTGCACTTAATCGAGCCGATAAACTTACATTGTTGTTGTTACCAATTGAAAGACTATTTCCCAAACTAAGAGAAGTTCGAGGAAATCATTTGCTTATTTGCTTCAAGTCCCAATTGATTCTGTGTGCCATAGTTGCATGATTATCTTGGGAAGCTCACTATTGTCCTATCTGTTGACGGGGGCAAGCCCACGTGGGGTCATACAAAATTTTTGGTTTTTTCTTTTTCTTTTTCTTTTTTTAGATAATAGTTGTTTTAACCATTTTACAACCTACTTTAACGCACTGATTATGGGATGACAAATGAAGTTGAAATTTTGCATTCTTTTTTTTTTTTTTTCATTGTTCAAAACTTTGCATTCTTAATACAATTTCTAAGTGTTCATGACATAGTTTTTTACTTGTTAATGGCATACAAAACAACCAACTGTAGCAAAAGTTACAATGCATCAAAGCAGGCCATTCCAAACTAATATTTCAAAAATTTCGATAATATGCAAACTTTCAAAATTCACCGATGATTATATATTATCCGAATTCATAAATAGCCTACGTCATCTAGGAGCTCATTTCAAGAACTATATCCTAATCATATCAAATAGTCCAAATGGATATAAAAATAGTTAAATACATGTAGTGATGGCTCGGCTCGACCCTTTAACCCACGAGCTCGGCCCGGGCTCATGAAAAACGAGCCGAGCTAAGCCTAGCCCACGAGCCTCTCGCGAGCTCATGTTTTTTTTATTTTTATTTATTTTATTTTTTTGCACATCTTTTGCACCTTTTTTTAAAAATTTTCATATTTTTGGACGAGAGCTCGTGGGCTCGTCAAAACGACTCTTGGGATCTAGCCCCCTGCTCGGCTCGGGATCGAGCAGCCCACGAGCTGAGTTTTAACGAGCCGAGCGGCCGAACAGACGAGCCGCTCGGCCCATTTGACATCCCTAAATATATGTCAAACATACGACTTAAAAAATACGTCTAACTCATCTTTTCTTTAAAAAAAAAATTCAATTATTTTATTAATGTTTATTATTTTTGTATGATAAATTTTTCAATATAATTTACATAATTTTACTAGAAAATGTTATATGGAATATGACGTCAAAAATTTTAGGATCATTACAAACTAAATGTAATTTGAATTACTTTCGAATTACTTTTGCAATAAATTTAAATTTCATCTACTTCCTAGATTTAATCGGAATTTTATTTCATTTCATTTACTTCCTATATTTAATTTGATTTACTCATCTTCAACTCAACATTTATCAATAAAATGGTAAACGAGATTATAAAAGTGGTAAAATTCATTTAACAATATTGACAATAATATAATTATAAAATATTTTCAAATTATCAAAATGCTCATTAATTTATTTTCATTGATATTATACTTTTAA